CAGACAAACGGCGCGCGCGATGAGTGATGAGCCGCGGAGATTGCATGTCTCGTGTTTCTGGTTGCCCTCGATTTCTGTATGAATTTTCGTTTCCTCGGTCGGTTTGTTTCAAGGGATCGATGTGTGCCTAATCCCTGCTTCTGCCACTAATCTTGTTCTGTAAATAAATCAAATAAAAAGCGGGTGCGTTGGCTTTGCTTTGTACAAGTTACATTCAATGCATTAGGTCCATCTGGGTCGCGCGTTACCTAAAGAGTAATATCCAAATGTTCTAATTGCTAGGTACATTTTTTCCCCCGTTGATGTCAATTCTTATATTTTTGTCCTAGGATTCAGAAATAAAATTCTTGACAGTACAATCTGTCACTCGAGCACAGCGTGGATCACATTTAGAACGCAAGTCTTACCTTCCTTCGGCTTACCAGGCCGGCACAAAATTCAATTTATTTATTTATTTAACTAATAAAATTTAAAGCAAAACTAAATTGACACGTCTGTGTCACCACTTGCATTTGCAATCGCACTATGCACATAGACACATAGTAAACTGCAGCAGTTAAGAAAAAGAAACATGTTTCGGTGCTTTTAGTTGACCAAAGGCAGCATCACGCCTTGCCCACAAAAGAAAACCGATACTAAAATAAAATTCTGGCATCACAAAGATCTGCTCAGTTCATGTGGCAAATAATCATTTTGGGCGCAAAGATTTTAGTAGTGAATCTTAAAACCATATTGGCCCCCCAAAAATAGAAAACTACACGCTGAATGCCAGTTAGAATTTTTTTTTTTTTCTGTACAGCCAACAATTAGTTTGACAGGATGTGTGCAACATTTTCATGAAATGTCCAGGAGCTACTTATGTGCATACCCCATTAGCATATATGCATATATACGTAACTTACTGCAACTATTAAAGATATGGCATATATTTCAGAATAAGATATAAAATTAGGTGTACTTTATAACAATTTGTATGAATATTACATATAGAAATTTCAGATGAATTATAACTTATGTAAATATCTAGTAGCAACTTGGATCATTAGTTAAGTGATTATATATATTAGGCTACTCTGAATGGTTTATAGACATTGATGACAGTACCAGCTAAGATTCTAAATATATCCAAGACATTTAAAGTTGGTTCCCCAAATTCTCTTTAAATGGTACCTCAAGTTTACACCAACTTGTTCCCATTGAACTAAAAAAGAAAAGACTTCCCACAAAACAAACTACTCAGTTTGAAATTTGCTTACAATACAACACAATATGATTTTGTTCCACAAAAGGGGAGAAAAGGTGACATAGAGAAAGAAGAAAAAAAAGAACTCTGCTGATGTGTCAAAACTTTCTACTGCTAATGATTAAAATGGTCCGTGTTTTATTTACAATGCGCTTTTCGACACTACTGCACAAAAAAGGAATATCAACAATAAATGGAGAAAAAACAGGCAGAGGAAGAAAGAAAACACAGAGGATATGAACATTTTAGCTAGACTGCCAAAAACAAATCAACCAATGAATGCATAGAAAAAAATGGTTGGAGCGATGTGCAACAACAATCGCTTCTTCACAAAACCAGCTTTTATGTTCAGAGAACTGCTCATTCGGGTCAGATAATCGCAGAGGCACGACTCAGCTTTCCCTAGGTCGCATGTAATCAGATTATCAGAGAGTGGAGGCACTTAGCTTCCTTTTAGGAATCTTCTTTTGCCTCTGTTTGGAGAACCTATCCAGTACCAGCATCAATCCGACATTGCTCCCCACATCCCGATGGGATACCTGCCATTATACCAAGCATTGGTGAAATGCAGAAAAGTAACACCCAAAGATCAGACAATGGAGCAAGATTTGGCAACTTACCTGATGCGACGACTTGATTTCCTTCGCCAGCAAAAGATAGACACAACCCACTGGATGGCACATAAAACAAACAAGGCAGCAATAAATAAGTTGGTGCCAATGAAACAAATCATGTACAACACTAATCTTTGCTAGATGCTAACAATCAAATGGTGTGATATGAATTACATTTAATGTCTCTAGTCCAAGCTCAGAGAAATGGAAGCTTGTAATAATTTAACTAAAGTAAATATCCATAACACAATCTACACAGCAGAACAAGACAACACGCTGGGACCAGTACACGAAATTAAGCGTAATGTGGTCAAAAGTCAAAACTCATGCTTTTTAGTCAACCATCAGTTATAAATTATAACCCAAATCCTGGTGGATGACTACCATGTGACATCCTAAGATCACATGTTTTCCTTTGTTTCCAATGCATCCGGTAGCAGACTTGGCAGCTGGCACAGTAAAATAATCGAAGAACCAAGTTTAAAATTGATTCCCTGTTCTCAACCAATACAGGAAAACACACATGACCAAGACCTCTAGTTAAGGTACGATGCACTATACAATGCTGAAGTACTGGGTGAGTGCACAACAAAGGATGAACACTTGGGATAGGGTGCAACAGATGTAGTCAAATAACAGTAATTAATAACCTCGTAAAGTCGACAGCATAAGTTTTTTCCATATTTATATGTGTGTGTGTGCACGCGGGCGCGCAGTTGAGGGGCATTATCTCAAATATTTCAGGAAGACTTGTAATAAAAAAAAAAGGAAGATTCCTTGTTAAGAGATACAGAAGGAAGATGAGTTTCGCAAGAGAACTAAGTGAAAGGATGATGAACCATCTGTTGACCATTGCACAATCTT